TATTATATTATATAATATTATATTATTATATAATAGTAATATATAATATTACTAACACTAATTGAGTATTTATTACGTTCTAGGCATCTAACTCATTTAATCATCCTAACACCACTGTTAAGGAAACATATTACACCTATTTTATAAATGTAAAATCTGAAGGCTCAACAGGTCATATAACCAGTTGTTGGCTCAAGCCTGGTCAAACCTTTCAGACTCTGAAGCCCAAACTTTTCAGACTCTTAGCTACTTTGCTTACCGTATGTTGTTTTACTAAATCAGACAAGTACTCATAGTTGACACTACATGAGGCAAAATTTGACTTGGTGTAAAGATGATTTTCCCAATGAAAGTTTAACTTTCTTATCATCTAATCATAGCAGTGACTACTTCTGGAAGTAAGGGCTTCCATTCATAGATGTATTTAACCAAAAGTTAGTATCTAGCAGGTTACTAACATCAGAAAAGAAGTATTATTAAAGATAAAAAGGGACATTTCACAATGATAAAAATCAATTTGACAGGAACACATAATAATTCTAAATGTGTGTACATTTAACAACATAGCTTCAAAATATACAAAACAAAAATTGACAGGCCTGAAAGGAGAAATAAACACATCCACAATCATATTTGGACATTTCAACTAATCTCTATTACAACTGATAGAACAAACAAAAAATAGAAGAGTTGAACAACACAGTTAGCCATCTTGACCTAAAAGACATATATAAAACTTATACCCGACAATTGCAGAATACACATTATTTCTAAGTGTATGTGAAACATTCATCAAGATAGTTACCTAGCAAAATCGCTGCAGAAGATATTTCTTAGTGAGCAGGAAGTAGAGCTTGTTGAATTTTAAGATCACCTCTGAAATTCTAAAAATTTACTCATCTTTTCCTAAGAATATCACCCTCAGTCCTGCTTCCCCATTGTGTGAGGCTGATAATGACACCTTTCTAGCTACTTCCCAAATACAAAAGAGGCTGTGAAGATGTCTTTAATGCTATATAAACGTAGATGTGGGCTCCTGTCCCTTCCCCAAACCTTGCCGATTTCTTTTAGTTGAAGGTCTCTCCCATGAGCTCCCTCATTTATATATCCCAAGCCAAAGCCTCAGCCCAGCTTCTGATTCCTGGCCCTTCTACCTCTGGAATCACCTATCAACTTGGCCACCAAAATCAGTTTTTTGTTTTGTTTTGTTTTGTTTTTTTTGTCCCAAGCTACCCTGTGGGAGCGGGCTAGACCTTCACCCATAACACTACTCCTATAAATCCATTTGTTCTCCACCTTCCCCAGAGACTCCAGAGCTTCAGAAATAGCTTACAATATGATAGGATGAACTGATTACAAGAGGACATTGCACCAAGGGGAAAAAAGTATAGGTAAATAACATAAAACAAAAGACAGAGTACTCAGAATGCTTGACTGAGGTACTTTTTGATTTCTAGAGGTAGACCAAAATTTGGCTCCAAGGAAACTGGCGAGTCTAACTAGTTCAAGTCCTTCAGTAGGCTGGTTCAGAACCTGATTCTCCTCATGTACTAGTTCTGGGTACTCCTAAGTCTCCCTGGAAAACACATCCCTCTTTTATGTTGCTCCATCCCCAGACTTTTGGAATTACATACAGAATCATATTTTTTTTTTATGATTCCAATGCAGAATTCAGAATACTGTAGCCATGAAGGGCATGAGTCCTCCCTAGCCACACCAGATTACAGTTTTTTTTTTTAATTTTACAAAATAAGATATGAATTTTACCTACCTTCTAGGGTCCTTGTATGGTTTAAATGAGATAATATATGTTAAGGGAATAGAACCAGGTTTTAGAGCCACTCATCCCTGCTCCTCTCCAAGTTCTGGATTAAGTGGGCTATATACACAATAATCAATACCAAATGGGAAAGGAACTCTATTTTTTTAAATTAATTATTGGATGAGCACATGATTTTCCCCTTTCCCTTCTCTTGATTTGGGGGCTTCTCTGGTGATTTACACTGCGGAATATGACTTAGAATAGGGACCTCCTGTTTCTTGTTCCCTCATCTTAACCTGAGGGTCCAGGTTTGCAGATCAGACCCTAAAATCACTCATCTATCCAGACTCATGGATAAGAAAATCTGTCCCACCCAGTCACAAACAGAAACTGGAATACTGTGAGATGGGAAGATGTCAGAGCTTTTTGAAGCAGGCAGGCAGGCCGATAGGCCCAGCTGAGTATGCTTTACTGCACCAAGAACTTCAACAGAGGGTCACAGGTTTTTAACAGCATTTGAAGGTGCAGTCACCCTGCTCTCCAGTGAACGTGACCCAGTGAGTGTGTTTGGCTAAGACTAATCAAAATAGTAACTCATAATATAAAGACACGCAGGGGAGATGCTCAAGGGGCAAAAACTATGGAGAGAGCCATGAACATTCCTCCCTCCTCTACAGTACGTAAAAGCAAATGGCATGAAGCTCAGCACCCAGAAAACACTTAGTAAATCATACATATTTGATGTTTTCCACGTGGCTGTTATCATTATTTAATATAAAATCGCTTTTCACAAAATATGTGCCCATTTATACTCCTCCCAACAATTTAAGAAAAAAAGTTTAATCATACCTGTACCACATATCTATCTTTACTGCAAAGATTGTATTGAAATTCTATTTCTTAAGGAATATTTTCTACTTAATGAAAACTAATGTTCACTTTCCCTTCCCTTCACCAGAAGTCAACAGGTTACTTTCCACATTCTATGGTATCTACCTACATATGTTGTTAGTTCTTATTTATTTTTAGCTCTAAGAGAGATGGACAATTTGTTTTTGTACCTTTGTTCTCAGTGTCACTCGTGTTTATTTTAGATCTGTTTTTCGGAGGGCAAGGATTAATCTGATTAATTCATTCAGCATACACTGCACAGAATAGTGTATGTGCGTGTGTGCGTGCTTGTGCATGCACTAGAGAAGAGAATTAAATAATACATATACTCAATTTTTGACTATTTATAGACAGAATCTTGGTCTTCAATTTTTTCCCTCCTAATATCAGGGAATAGAAGAAAGGGAGAAGTAGATAAAAGGTGTTAGAAAAAACTCTGAATAAAGTGAGGTCTAGGGATTAGTTAGTAATTTTATTTATCCATCTTCTCTCTTTTCTCTAGTCCTCACTTGTGAGATAATTTACAGTAATATAAGAAGCCAGAGAGTGTGGTGGCATAAAACACTATTGAGAATTGGAATCAAACTTCCAATGTGCAAATATTGGCTCCACCAGTTAATAGCCCTGTTACTCTGAGCAAAATACTAAATCTCTTCAGTTACCTCCAACAAAAATTGAGAATATCAACAATGCCATTTTTGTTGTAAGAATTAAATAATTCAATAATAAAATAGCATGATATTTTGGACAGAGGAAATTGTGTAAAAAATTAAAGCCATTATTACTTAATATTGATAATGATCATTTTATTCATTTCATATGGCACTGAGTACAGAGCTCTACAGGAATCAGAAAAGAACGACTTATTTCTATTTCTTCTTCTATTGTCCAGCTTCCTACAAGAAAATAAACACTTATATCCTTAAGGTCCCAGGGACAGACGAGGTAGAGCTCACCTGCCAGGCTGAAGGTTATCCCCTGGCAGAAGTGTCCTGGCCAAATATCAGTGTTTCTGCCAATACAAGCCACATGAAGACCTCTGAAGGCCTCTACCAGGTCACTAGTGTTCTGCGCCTAAAGCCACACCCTGGCAGAAACTTCAGCTGTGAGTTCTGGAATGCTAATTTGAAGGAACTTACTTCAGCCATCATCGACCCTCAAGGTAAGAGTTGCCCGCCCTTCCTCGCTCTGTCAGTCAGGGTTCAGGCAAGAAACATACTCAGAATGAGTAGTTTGAGAAGAGTGTAATAAAGGGACCATTTATAAAGTTGTGATCAGAATTTGGAGAAACTACTAAGGATAGTGAAGGACCCTGGGGCTTCAACAATGGGGGATCAACTACCGCTATTGGAGAGGTTACTAAAATCTGGAGAAGGGAGCTGTAAGGAAAGCACCACTTGACAGGAGGTGTGCCCTCCAGCAGAGGAATGCTGCCTCCTGCAGCAATTCAAAAGAGCAGAAGGTGGGTGAATGAATACTTCAACCTCATTCTCCTACCACCCTCTAATCTCCCGCTGTTGCCTCCCATTGGCTAAACCCGGCTGGAAGTAGGGGAACAGGGTAGTCCACTAATATGTTCCACAAAGATCAACTTATCAGAGCTCAGACAGAAATGTAGAGAATAGATGAAATGTAGAGAAGAGGAAACAGAAAATATCTAGCACAAAAGCTAATCACTATGTCTCAGGCACTATGCCTTGAGTCAGCAGGATGAGTATTACTTTGCTGGCTTTGCTGCCAGTCAGATGGTTTGGGAAGTTCACAGAAAACCTGGCCTCAAAAAAAAAAAAAAAAAATATCTCCCAAAGCTTTTGCTGGCTATGCTGAATCGCGTACTTTAGAACTTCATACACCAGCAAAATTTCAAACAATTTTGGAAGTCTGACAATATTTTTTTTGCCAAGTAAGAACACTAATTTGCCAAATAAGAGGAATTAACATGTAGTATTATTTCATAAGAGACAAGTCATTTTATCACCAAGCGCTTAAGTTTCCTGTTACTCCTATAACAAATTACCACAAACTTTGTGGGCTTAAAACAACATAAACTTATTAGTTTACACTTCTGGAGGTCAGAAGTCCAAAACAGGCCTCACTAAGCTCAAATCAAAGTGTAGACAGGGTAGCAGAGGCTCTAAGGAAGAATTCATTTTCTTGATTTTTTTAGCTTCTAGAGGCCACTTGCATTCCTAGGCTCATGAACTCTTCTCCACTTTCAAAGCCAGAAACTGCATTTCTCAGACCTCTGCTTCTGTTGTCACATCTCTTTCTTTAGCTCTCCTGCCTTCTTCTTCCACCTTTTAGAGACCCTTGTGACTACGCTAGATGCCTTCCCCCGACTTCAACTCTATAATTCAGGATGATTTTCCCAGTTCAAGGTCCTTAATATAATCACATCTACAAAACCCGTTTGCAATGTAGGGTAACCCATTCACAGGTTTCGGGGATTAGACCATGGGCTTCTTGGAGGGGAAACATTTCTGCTACCATTCAAGTAAAGGATGTAATCTCAGAATAAAGGATAGTCCCTACTACTGATTAAATTTGACTTTATAGAAAATTCACTATGTTGTCATTTTGTTCACCTTTTGTCCTTTGTCTTAGACAAAACAGAGCCTATAATGACTTATTGGCATGTGGGTATTTGGGTGGTGATCCCAAGGAGCAGAGGTGAGAGGTTTAGGAAATTAAGACAGGAAATTAAGACAGGAAAGAAAGAAAACAAATATAGGGGTATTTGATCAAAGTTGTTGATGTGGGCAACAGGAATTCAAATATGCAAGGACCTCCTAAGATGTTTACTCGAAAGACTTCAGGTGGAGGGACTAATCGTGAGCTTTCATCCTCAGTGATTGACAGCTATCCCCAGAAGTATTAACTCCCTTCCACTATGAGCTGTGCATGCATGTGGACTGAGTAAGCTCCCCATAGCCATTTATAGCAACAGAATCATCCCAGGGCAGAAAAAGCAAGTATAAGCTTGACATGAATCACTTACCATGAAGTGAGTCAAAGCCCAACCAGAATTCTACCTAATCCATGTCTGAAATCCAAGGTGAAGCTGAGAGGAAGTGAGGCAGGACTACAATAGTGTATCACTTGCACAGCTGAAGTCCACTCATATTTACTCAACTGTTCTTTGTTATATGGGATTTCCTGCTTGGTTGAGTGTAGGCCAGTACTTTGGATGGAATGTGGTTTTCTAGAAGGACACTTATATAAAGATCTCCACAGAGAAATAGGGACCTGGGTAAGATGAATTTAGAAATAACTAGAATCTACCCATTGCACCACTGATCATATGAGTGTTTTTCTTCATGGTAGAGAAGTAGAAGGGCAGACTGATAATTTCTCTGGAAGCCTTGAGGCTATGAGAAGATAAGAGCAAAGTAAGGTGGTCCCTCTCTCTTTTTCTAGGAGCCAGCATAGCTGACTGAATAGTCAACAGTTGTGGGAGAGGCCTATCAGGTCTGCATTAAAGCTTGGGATCTCCTAGGCTATCACTCATGAATGCAACTGCCAAGGAGAGGGAGAAATCTTTGTGCAATTAGAAATTCTCAACCTAGTTTTACCCATCCTCCCCAGCTTTATATTCATCCTACTATCCCCTGACATGTATCCTCTGTTCCGGTCAGCAACCTTTTCTCACCCTGTACTCTCTGAGACTTCCTTGCACCTCTCTCCACCTCTATGACCTCTTTGCTCAGGCAGTTTCTGCCACATAAAATATTATTATTCGCTTCTTAGCCAGCTCCAAGCCCACTCTCTGTCCAGGGCAGCTCAGGTAACTTCAGGATACAAGGGGTCTTTCCTCATCTCACCTCCTAAGACCAATTACTTGTACCATTTCTTTGTTTGCCTGTGACTGGATTTGTCTTTTCTCTTTCATTACTATTTTATTTTCTGTGTATTTTAATCATTCACATGAATCTTCTTTATACCCAGACCGAAACAAAAGCAGAATGCTCTGCTCATAATAAGTGCTCAATAAATGTCAGAGTAATGGGTTAAAGACTTAGTCTTAGATGATCTTATCACCCCAACCACCAGACTGTCCAGATCAGAGAAGTCAAATGATCTGCTACACATCCTCCCACGGGTTCTTAGCTTCTACTTCTCAAATGCATTTTAAGTTGTCTTATGACTGTCCCCTTTCTACTCATTCTCATAAGCTGCGCTGCTCACTGCTGCTTTCTGTGATCTACCACAAGCTTCTCCAGGAGTCAGTGAATCAAACAAATACAGCGATAAAAGTCTGGGTGTGGGAGTTGCTCCCATGACTCTAGAATGAACGATAGAATATCCTAAGTTTCGATCAGAAATTAAGGAGCAATGAGACGATTTTCCTTTTAAAACAGTTTCTTCTGCTTAGTCACCTGCTGCATTTTCATTAGGAGATATAATTGGGCTGGAGCACAGGAAATAACTGTAGCAAGATCCTTATAGGGCTGACAGAGAAGCCCTCCCAGGGGACCTGGCAGTGACTTTCCCTCAGTGGTCAAGTGCATGGCTCCAAAGTCAGGTGGACTTGAATTTCAAATCCTTTCTGCTACCTACTAGCTTTGAGAACTCGAATATATGACTGAGCCACCCTAGAACTGTCTCTCATTTGTGGAATGAGGGTGCATGATGGTAGATAATTTATAGGGTTATTGTGAAGATTAAATATACTTCTAAAGTCCTTAGCACTCAGAAAGGATAGAAGAAGGAAAAAAATATGGCACTTTTAGCAAGAGGCATGGCTTCCTTGTGAATAGATAGAACTGGGGCCAAGGATAAAACAAACAGTTTTCTCATTGCATCATCGTATCATTGTTAAGTAGCATGCAAATATTATAAAACAATTTAGAAAAATATGTATTAGAAGATAGGCTAAGAGACCTCAAAATATAGTGACTCAAAAAAGACAAAAGTATATTTCTCTCATGTAATATTTAGAGATAGAAGGTGGTTTAGAGCAGGTAAGTAGCTATAGTCCATAAAGTCATTCAGTGATCCAGATTCTTTCCATCCCATTGTTCTGATATTCTCCAGGGTGTTATCCCTATTGAATTGTCTAAGCTGGGTCACTATCACATCCATGTTTCAGCCTTTAGAAAGAAAAAAGAGACATATTCAATGTTGTAAGGCTAAGACTCAGAAGACCCATTCTCTTGGCCTGAAGTTAGTTTACATGGCTGGCCACATATAACTGCGGGGGAGGCTTAGAAATGTAGTCTCTGAGAAGCCATGTATCAAGTTGACACCTAGCTAGTATGAGGGGAAAAAAAGGAGAACAGATTTAAGGAATAAGCAGCAGTCTGCCATGAGGTAACAAATGACAAGGAAGATCGGGTTAGGTAGACTAGATAGATGGTGAATTCAGCCCAACAAATTCTGACCGACACCTTTCATGCAGCTGGTGCTTGGCGTTATAGGGGATTCAGAGGTGACTTTCATAAAGACTTTGCACTCTGAAAACTTACAATCTAAGCAGACTGATATCCTGTTGGATGTTCACTGTTAGAAAGTCTTCAAGGATGAGTAGAGCTTTTGTATGTGAAAGGGACTATGAGGGAACCTAACAGGACAAGGGTTTATATAAGGCACTGAGGTAGGGACTGTTATAGGAACAGTAAGGATCCCAGGACTCCTTGACTCACAGTGCTACATGCACTTAATAGCACTTCTTACAAGTGAAGGAGCAGACTGTTAATCAATATGGGTTATTCATGTATGGTGAGGGATATTAACTAGACTTACTGTGGTAATCAATTCACAATATATACAAATATTAACTCATCATGTTGTATAGCAGAAACTAATATAATGTTGTATGTCAATTATACTTCAATAATTTTTTAAAAAGCATGGGTTATTCAGTGTGCAGATGATCCAGCCAATACTCTTCTGTAATGTTCACCACATTCTTTGGGATAGAGACAAATACCTGTGGGGACTAAGCTTTGAATCAGACAGATCTGGGTTTGCAATCCTGGTTTTGCCACTTACTTAGCAGTGATGACCTTAGATAGACTATTTAGCAATTTTTAGCCTTACTTCCTCAATTCTAAGATGAAGGGCTCAAATTAAATTACATCTACTCCTTTCTCAGCTAAACTGTCTATGTTTCTCAGAAGGCACTATGATTGGGAAAGGGGAGAGCAGTTGGCAGAGCTGAGCCTTTCCTCTGGAGAAGTTTCACCAGGTTTTTTTCAGACCAGGCTGTTATATTTATTCTGTATGAGTATTTCAAGGTGCAAAATTTAGGCTTTTGGAAAGGGCAAGGCCTACTTTGGGTCCGCCTCCATCTCCCTATAGTGAACCCCACTCCAGGCCTGTTCTTTGTCAGTCTGGGGTGCTCATTCTAACCTGTAGATACCCAGAGCTTTCCTTTACAAGGCTTTCCCCAGGCTCCAAAATTACTCTTCTCATTCACCTCTCTACTAAACTCATCTTTTCCTCAGTGCCAAGAACTGGATTAGCTGTGAGAAGGAAAAGGGCTGGTTATAGTAATTCACAATGACTAGATTTTGTATATTAACATTACCTACAATATTTTATTTTTTTCAAAAGGGACTCCTTGAAATTGAATAACTAATGATATAGATTCTAAGCACCATGAGTGCTTGACAGAGGATGGGGAGACATTATTGAGCTGAGGGACTATACTACTGGAAAGAGAGAGAGAGAGAGAAAGAGAGAGAGAGAGAATATGAGAATGAGAATGAATGAGAATGAATATGATAGATGTGTCAGAATGATACAAAGCGTGGAACTTGGAACCTGACAGCCTGGATTATATCTCAGCTCTGTCACTTACTGTATAACTTTGGGAAAATTTTCCAGGCTCTCTGTGCCTCATTTTCCTTATCAGGAAAACGAGGGTTATAATAGGGCCTGCCTCAAAGGGTGGTTGTGAGCGGTAAATGAGCTGATACATGCAGCTCACACAGAACAGTATGAAGTAAATGCTCGATGCAAGCTGGCCATGTTGGCTATAACCCACTCAGAAGGCCAACTTGTTAGTTTACCTCTAAGCTATCATGTAATGGAATTCTGGTGCTTTTCTTTCACCCAGGTGAGATGGAACCCACGATTCCTTCAACTTCGCTGCTTCATATTCTCATCCCTTTCTTCATCATTGTTTTAACGTTTATGGCTACAATGATAGTGCTAAGAAAACAACTCTACCAAAAGCTTTATTCTGGAAAAGGTAAGTTAGTGTTATTCATGATAACCAATGAACAGATGTCTGCAGTGTGAGACTCTGCTTTGCTCACAGTGGCCTATAGCTTCCCAGATTCACACTAAATCCACTCAGGGCTTTTGAATTGCTTTGGTCTAGTCCTAATGATTTCTTTTTCCAGAAGAAAATGGCTCTAGTCTTCGGTGAGCAAAAATCTTTACACTGAATATTTTAAAAGGAATGTTTTGTTCCTGTGGCTGAAATAGTTTGCTTTGTCCTTTGAGCTGAGAAGTGTTATTGGCCTTGAGTGACTGGTGTTATTTTGACAATGCAGACAGCATGTGGTCAGAGTTCACTCGTGGGAAGATGCCAGGATCCTTTTTGATGATTCCTTCAGTTCTCATCTCTCCTTTCCCCATAGGCTAAGCCTCCCATCCCCCACCCCAAGGAATTTGAATCCCCTGGTTGGGTAGGAAAGGAGAAAATTGTATGAGGCCATTTGGGGGATGGGGAAAGCACCTGTTTAGTGGGGCCCTAAGGTCTTTCAGCAGCTTCCCACTCCTATTGTGCCAGCTGGGACAGAAGATGCCTGCTGCAGCCTTTAAGCCCTGGCCAGAATATCTGCAGGTCTCTCTGGGGCTTTCCTAAACTGTCTCTTTGTTACCACTCAACAAGCTCCTCCCAAGATCTACGCAAAACCTTCTCTATAGAAAAAGACATGACATCTGGGAATAATTCAGTAGAAATTTGGGGTGGTTACTATTTAAGGATTGGGTTTTTTTTTTTTTTTAGGTGGTTATTATCCTACATTTACAATCTAACTTCTATATTCTCATCTGCCATGAAATATTGTCTGATTCTATTTTTGTCCATTTCCCTGCCTATGCATTAGCTTGAATAATAACCACAAAACTCTCTACTGTGAAATCCGAGAGAGAGAGAGAGAGAGAGAGAGAGAGAGAGAGAGAGAGAGAGAGAGAGAGAGATGACAGAAGTGAAGGGGAAGGATGCTTCACCACAAAGGTGGAAGTACAAGGTCTCGTTCGACAGAACTTTGACTAAACAGAATCACTTCTACAACCTCACTTCTATAACCTCAGAGAGTCATGGTAGATGCAGCTCATTAGAATCTTCTGCCATTCTTATTTTACCTCCCTCATACATACCTCTCAGAGATAGCTTTATTCCAAGGTTCCAGGCCCGGGACCTGAGACCCATTAGTCACATAGAAATGAGCAGCAGAGCCTTCTGTTCCTACTTCTTTTAGGAGAATGAAATGGAGTTACACTTAAAGGTAGAGCAAAAACAAATCCTCCCCTCATCTGTTATCCCACCCTCAAGAGCGAATGAGGATAGCAGTAGCTCCTGGGTGCAAAGCTCAGGTACCAACTGCAGTGGAAGAGATTAGCTACTAATAAGGCTTAAGTGAATAAATTTGCAAATGATTCTTTTTTTGTTTTTAATAAACCAGAGTGAAATCATGGTTGCCTATAAAATACCCCACCTCTCCAACTCATATGCGTTGAGATCTGCTTTCTTACATGGAAAATACAGACACACATGTGAAAATGTGTCTGCCATGCGTAGGAATTCACGTGTCATGGAAAAAGTTTGAGAACTGCTGGTACTGTGGATAAAGCTTTAACCAGGGTCAGAAAGTTAGGTCTGGACCTGATGCTGCCATTTATTGGTTCCGTGGTCTTGCACAAATTGCCTAACTTCTTTGAGATGGTTTTTATATCTGTAAATGGGAAGCAGCATGGGAATGAACATTTTACAACTGATTGACCCAACCTCACTGCCACTACTGTGGTTCAACCTAGACTAGAGCAGAACCCTCCTAACTCGTCTCCTGCATCCAGTCCTACCACCTCCAGTATAGTCTGTTTTCACTTTTAGCTAAAACAGGCTTTTAAATTTTCAAATATACCATGTCTCCTCAGTTCAGATCTCTTCCATGACCTCTCATTGCTCACTGGATGAAGCTCCAGTGAACCCTGGGTGGTGTAACTCACGTCTCTAGCTTTATACTGCATCATCATTGCCTTTGTTATCCAAGCTCTAGCCATAGGATCTTCTAGTCTTCAGAGATATCCCACTCTTTCAAATCATAGATTTCTCATATAGTATTTGCTCTTCTTAAAATACTTTCTTCTCTTTGACCACCTGAGTTGCAGTCATCCTTTAAATCTCAGCTAAGCTGTCACTTCATCAAGCCTTCCCTCGATCTACCCCCTCACCACATCCATTACATTAAATACCCTTGTCAGGTGCTTCTACAGTGCCTACTTCTCCTTTCGATATACTCAGCACATAATTACATATCTAGGACTTGTTTTCAAAGCTTATGCAATTGCATCTCTTTTAATTTCCCAAACAATTACTCAGGCATGCACCTGCCCATTTTAGCAAGAAGTCCAATGTCTCCTTCTTACAGCATGTACTTCCTTACCTCCCACAAACTGTCAGGAGGCCTACTTACCCCAGGAGCCCCCAGGAGTTTCCAAAGAGGTAGGAAAGCTAGTGGGGAGCTAGGTCAGTTCACCAGAGGGCCCTGGTTTTCAGCTGCTGCTGTTTCTACTCCTGCTATGCAATATCCGTGTTCCCTCAGGTGTCTCCCTCCACCACACAAAGGTACCATTGCAAGTCCAGATCCCCACACAGGTCAGAGTGTTGCAAGATAATAGCTCTTCTGGCTCCCCTCACATGTTCTGAAATTGTTCCCTAAGCAGGACCGTCTGGGGCTGATAAGGATAGAGGGCCTTCCTGCCTTAGCCACAGCCTCTTCTGCTGTTGACCTTCATATTGAACCTGGGACACCAGTCCTGACTTCCTTCTGTCAAGTTCCTCTTATGGCCATTGCTGTCCTGGACTTCTCAGTCTATCAGAGTCAAGTAAAGGGGTAGCAATCTCATTCCTTTTCCATCCAAAAGGCTCCTTTGTTCCTATATAGATTTATCCACTTATGCCTCAGCGACCAGTTGAGGTATATTTGGGAGGGTACCACTGTCAGTCCATAAAAGGTTCTGCTTACCATCTCCACCTAAGAGGAACCATTCAACAAATCTGGGCTCCAGAGAAGAAGTTAATAATGTCTATGGTAAAAATAATGTCAAGTTCTGCTTCATCTGCTGGTTTTTAAATTTCATGAGTACAGGAACTGTTTCTCTTATTTACCAACATATGTCCAGTGTCTAAAACATTACCTAGCAAATACAGATGTTCAATAAAATTTTAAACATTGAACTTAATATATGCAGGTATGTGTGCTATACAATATACTAGCCACACACGGTTTTAACTTCAAATTAAATAAGAATTCAATTCCTTGGTCACATTTTAAGTGTTCACACATTGTAAGTGCTCAGTAGCCACATGGGGTTAGTGGCCTCTGTATGGAACAGAGCAGATATACAATTATTTCCAACTTTGCAGAAAGTTTTATTGGACAACATTGCGCTAGGCCCTATTTCATTGATTTCACAAAAACCGCTTGAGGCAAGGAGTAGTGTCTACTTTGTAGATGAAGAAACTAAAGCTCAGAAAATACCCCTAAAGTCATGTGTGGAGTTTGAACACAGGTCTGTCTGTCTCCAAAACTTGTGGTCTTTTTGTTGCAAAAGTGCTTAATAAAAATTGGCTCAAGCTGAATATATTTTACATTATACATTATTTTGGGGCAATAGAAGGAGAGAGTCTCAACCCAAAGTAACTCATTCATTGACTTGCTGTGCCAATGACAAAGCCAAGAGTAGAATCTAGTAGGAGTTATCAGCTATAGAGACCAGATCTCTAGAACAGGTCTCCAGATCTCTATTTCTTAAACTTTTTGGTAAAGAACCAGTTTGGGTTTTTTTTTCAAATTTCTAATATGTTAGAATTGATACCTTTATAATATATAATAAAAATGAGTTACTAAAAAATGAAACAAAGAACAAAGACATAAAACAATAAGTCAAATTTTATTGGATTCGATAAATGTAATATGACATTTAAATAAATATAATCAGAAAAAATAGCATAGTAAAAGAATTACTATAAAATTATCTAAATGTTTACACTCTACTTCTGTACTTACCTTATCATAGACTGATGACAAACAGTTCACTTCCAGCACCAGCCCATGGACCACACTTTCAGTGGCAATGCCCTAAAAGACTGAGCCAGGACTTCACAGGAGTTTGAACAGGCCGGCTTATGGTTGCATAAGAACCACAAAGAATGGCAGCACTGACCTCAGGCATTAGAGAGGCCTTCACTGAGACTCCAACATTTCAGGGCAATTCCTATGGGCAATTCCACTGAGCTCCTTTCAAAAGTAAATCCTCTTGGAGGAGACTACAATGCTGAATAGAGGCCCAGGATGGTCATGCTAAAAATCTGGTGTAAAGAGCAAAAGTAGGATTAAGGATAGACTGAGCTCAGGAACCCAGACAACTACAGGAGATGAACATTAAGCCCTGGAAGAAAGTCAGAGCGTGAGGGAACATGTAAAATCAGGTATTATTCAAGCTGAGGTCTTAAGCCATGGTAGAGGTTTGGACTTCTATACGCGGATTTATTTGGATTTAGTTTTTGTTCTGCATCTTTTAGCCCATAAACAGAACACTTTTCTCATTCCATCACTGGGATTTTTCTTCTTCAGGTACAACAAAAAGATGTCACCACAATCAAAAGGAAGTGAATAGCGCTGTGAGTAGTCATGATTTCTCTTTTCTTTTTCACCTCTTTTTCTCTCCCGGCTTGAATCAAGAAATAACGACTGTTCTGTTAATGCACAAGGATTAACTGAGTAATTTAGGCCTGTACAGAAATCTTCCCATTTAGTGGCATTTAGCTATCTGTCCTTGCAAACCTGTATTGTTCCATTATCTTTCTTGGAGAACAAATTGTTCTCTACAGCTACCAAACAATTATGTAACTCTTGACATTTATATTCCTAAGCGCTCCTAAAGGAATACTGCATGGGACATTCAGGCTCACATACTTACAAACATCGTTAAAATTTTAAAGCAAGGAGAAGATATTCAATTGTTATGCAACCAACAGCTGTTGTTTTTGCAACAGTTATTAAGTACATTGGTGGGGGCTGTAGGTCAAGGGTAAATGCTGGGGAATAGAAGACTCTTCTTGAGGTTGACAAATTTGGAGGTGTAATTTGAAGAAGATAAAAGATGTGAGGTCAGGAGAAGTGGAGTTGCTGAAATCATTCAACTTGGTTGGATGAAAAGTTTAGACCTTGGGGAAGCAGTGTGTTGGGGACTGACAAGCCTGAGTCATTTTGTAAATGGATGTTTTTAGCTTTCTTGGGAATTTCTTTTTGTAATCTAAGAATCACATGTTGTAACACGTGAGTTCATGAGTGTACCAAAATGATGATAGGCCAATCATAGAAATTTCTAAAAATATTGTATCAGCTACTCAGGATATTCAGAACTATTTATTTTAGAATTCTGCTGAATATATCCCCCAAATTACCGAGGCACCAATTGTGAAAACAGCCTTAGAAAACCTTCAAACACCAGGGTCTGTGTCTGGCTTATACATAAGACATGGCAGCTCATAAGCACAAAATAAGACTGAAAGGAGTGAAATTGGCCCCTGCATTCTCCCTATCACTCACTATTTCCTTGAAAACCATTCATGAGAATACATCCTGCCACTGTATACTCATGCCTGGACACAGAACCAAGAAAACAAGTGCAGCATGGGCCTGGACTTGAAGTCCAGTTACACTGAGCTTCTCTGAATTGGCGATGAGATTTTCTTAGAAAAGTTTTAACCCTGACAGTCCTAATTGAAACATTTATTCCTGAGAAACAAAAGTCCTGCACTCCTATAAATTGGTCTGCTTGGCCTAGAGTGAGTTTCCATAGGAGAGGGTCCTCAGCATTTGTCTGAGTTTCATGAGCTCGAATTCTTTGTATAAGTCACTCCTTCAGCTGTCCAGCATAAGGAAGAAATAACAAAAGTCATGTGGGCAGAAGTGGTAAACTCAGATGACCACTGGGGACAGGCAGGTGATGGAATGAGTAAAAAGTCCTGGTATGACCAAACAGGCAGTTGTGGGGACTGCAACAAATTGAAGAGCATATTTCCTATCAATTTAGCACTAGCCTAATGTTGCTGGAGAAGATGGAAATCTGGATTTTTATATAAAACGTCTTAGTTATTAAATGCTGGCTGAAAGTATTTCAAATACCAAACAAATGAAATGAAATATGCCCATAGGTTAATTGAGCCTGTCAACACGAGTTTGTGACCTCTCTCCTAGAGAAAAAATACAGTCAGCAAAGAGCTTAGGATCCGAATAATGAAGACAGCAACATCTGTTTGAGGAACTGAGAAATGCTTACTCCCATCCTAAATGTCTCACCCTATAACCTGCCATAGGGTCTGGATATTGCACTATTATAGAGTGACTTTTTTGGATTAACAGGGTATCACAACCATCTTTAACCAATATTATCTCCTTATAAACAGAAAAACCTCAACCTTCTTTTAATGATATCAGAAATTCAAAGTAAAGTAATTATACTGATCAAAAGTCAAACTAAAGCAATGAGACTAATCCCCCTCCCAACCCCACCTCCCAATTATGTGTAGTCACTCTCTCTATCTGCTAACTGCAAAGGGAGAGTCAGGGAGCTGAGAGAGTTGCTTCTCCTCTTTTCTCCACTCCTCCACTCCACCCCCACCACCGGCATTTACTTAAAAATACGTGGTGTGATGTAAAGAGGTCAGGACCACTAAGATGTATATCATAGAAGAAACACAGAAGAATATTCCTGGTACTGTTATTTCTAATAGCAACAAGTTAGAAATAATCAAATATAAATCAATAGGAGACTAGATGAATAGGAAGACTATACAATAATTAAAATGAAAGAACCAAAACTAGATGGGTAAATCCAAACAATATAATTTTAAGAGAAAGGACAGACTGCAGAAAGATATAGATAACATATGATCTATTACAGAAAGTTTAAACACATGCAAACAACCACTAAGCAGTGTTTATGGAAACAGTCATGTGAAGTCAAAGTACAAAAACAGTTGGAAACGATAAACACCACACTTAACCTTTTTAACTAGGTGGTGGATATACAGATGTTCATCATATTATTGTCTATACTTTGTTTTATGCCTGAAGTATTTATTTTTATAAAAAAGAAGTCATGATCAAAATTCAAGAGATTTACATTCAAGTTTTTCTGTGAGCTACATATGTAGTATTAAGTAAGGTCCACCCCCTCTCTCTCAGCTTCAGTTTTGTCATCTATAAATTGAGGAGGGTGGATTACATCCAGCAGGGCAAAGAGCCTTGTGTCAGGTGCAAGGAATGCCTAGAGCAGAGATAAGGATGGTGTGGGAGACCATTTCTAGGTGGGGAGTGTGTTGATTGATGAATGATATCTGCCTTGGGTGTGGGATAGAGAGAAGTCATAGACCTTGGCCATATATTTGCCAAATGTGAAGGAAATACTCTTTTAAAAAAACCCATTATGTGATTATCTGTGTTTCCATTCATTTTTGTCCTATACATACATATTTTAACACTTGTATAATGTTGACACATTATTTTGTGTTTTACATGTCTCAGTTGCATTCAGAGTTATTTTTGGAATGATCCAAGTCTCTATAATTATGTTTAGAGCTGCATAAAATATAGAAATTAACTAATAATAAAGATGGAGTACTAAAGGAAAAATTGGCCCATTTTTACTTGGCATAATTGTTTTATGATTTTGTCAAGACAAATAGCTATGTGTTAGATGTCAGTGGATGCTTTTTAACTTCCTCCCCTATAAAGGTGATCATCAGGTATTAATTCTTTATCGAGAACTAACTTAACATTTTGGATAATATCCCCTGGGAACAAGAGGAAGCAGGACATGGAGATATTGATTTTGGGAATAGAAAGGGGATAGGTCTGGGGCCCAGTGTTACACAACCAAGAAAACTTGGTACTTGTTGGGTACGAGGGACACTTTAGGCTTCTCCAGAAAAACAGAACCACAGAACCACTAGGAGACTGGCAAGTATGAAATCTGTGGGGCAGGCTGATAGGCTAGCAATTCAGGTAAAAGTTGAAGGTGCAATTTTGAGTCCAAAATCTGAAGGGCAGGCCAGCACTCTGGGAACTCAGGTGGGATTTCTATACTACAGTCTTGAGGCCGAATTTCTTCTTTCCTGGAAAACCTCAGTTGTTGCTCTTAAGGTCTTGAACTGATTGAATGAGTCCCACCCACATTATGGAAAGTAATCTGTTTTGTTTAAAGTAACCGATGGTAAATATGAATCACATCTAGACTAACATTTGACCAACAACTTGCACAACAGTCTAGCCAAATTGATGCTTAAAATTAACTATCACAGGTACCAACAAATGGGGGGAGGCATTCTTGGCTGGAGTAAGTCAATTTATTGCACCTCCTTGGGCCTTTAAAATAGAATTATGTCATCATCTATTATCTGGTCCCTGGAGTTGTCCAAGAGGCCAGAGTTCTATCTAATACATGCTCATCCATGAACCTGCCACCCCAGATTTTCGTGCAAACTGTTTGGGGTTTTTTGTTTATTTCAGTAGGATTTTTTTTTCTCAGCTCACTGCCTCTCAATCTTTCAGCAACAAAAGGACATCTATGGTATCAGAATCTACTACTTTACATAGTTTGAAATAATGAATATCTGAGTAAATCTAGAGGGGAAAAAAATAAAACAATCTTGTAGCCAAAATTACTTGAAAAAATCAAACAGAACATTTTGGAAATGACTTCTTAGTAAAACGAAGAGATTATGTGAGCTAGGTTTGACTTAACTAATATCTCGTTTTCCTTGACAACACCCAATGAGGAACTAAAATATTTATAGATAGCTTTGAAAAGCCCCTATAAGTAGAATCAGTACCACTGCCAGATCCAACCCTCCCAATACTGTTTCATCACCATGCCAATCTCTTGTCTCTAGACTAGATCCAAACTCTTTCGCATAGTTTTTCAGGCCTTCCACCATCCTTTTATCTCTCCTGTTCCCAGGGGGTGCTCATTCTCACCTCTGTGCCTTTGCTCACATTGTGTCTTCTGCCTGGAATACTCTCCTCATTCCTTCTTGCTTACTCAAATTCGAACTTCTGGCAGGCTCTGCCATTAAGATACAATAATAATTAGCGTGGTTATTATAATAATGTCAAGTCACTGTTTTAAATACTTCAGAGGTATAAGCCCATTTAATCCTCACAGTAACTCTATGAGATATGTAGTTCCTCCTACCACCATTCAGTTTTATAGATGAGGAAATACTTGTGCAAAGTCACATGGCTAGTAAATACAAGGGCTAATACATGGACCCAGGTACCAAAATCCAGAGCCCACACCTATACACTACACTATAATCACTCCCTTGTTTAATCTGTAAGACTCTCTCTTCCAACTCACCCCTCTTTATTTTCCCTCTGCATTTTATACTCAGTCTATACCACTGTTGATGCACATGATTATTGCCTCATTTTCTGGCTCCTTCCATGTGTACATATTTTATTTCTATTTGATCAATGAAGCGAGATATTAAGCTTAATGCAACTATTGGGTATTGGGTGTTTGTCTTATTGTCCATTTATATGTGCTTCTTTTAGTTTATTCTGTGATAAATTTAAAAGAAAGTGACTGATTTTAACCAAATATGGCTCACTA